AACAAATATTTCTAGTCATAGAAGTCTAAGTGGAGAAAACAAAGCCAAACAGCAGGAAATGCGAATTATAACATGTTTCAGTGCTAACCGAAATGGTAGTTGATAGCATCCACTTGATATCTCATGCATAATTTATGTAATTCAAACCAAGAGGTATTACGGAAGAATCAGCATCCTAATCAATACTGCGTGTTAGATTCATTTCTCGAGTTATATCATCATGAGAAATGAAACTATTCCCACCATTCTTGAGAAACATAATCAATAACACTCCAAATGGGTATATATTAATAAAAGTTAATATCCTTGTATTTATGTTACTTCCATCTCGGGATAATCCCCACCCTTAACCATCATTTAGTCGTTCCAGAAAAAAGATTCCGAAAGTTTTGTTCAGCAGTAACAGGGCCATATATCCTAGCTACCCATCTAATGACAGGCGGGATGAGACAGCAAGTAGAACATCAGAAATACACAATTCAGGTCAACCTCCATTAGATAATAATGCATAAATAATCTTTGCAATCAGTATTTTTCTCAGTACTCATATAAATCCCGGTTATGCAAAGAGTGACAACCTTAGAAATGGTTAGTGCAGGACTCCACTGTTCCTTAAGTATGTCCAGGCATATGCTACCGTTGCTGTTGATATTGGGATGGAAGACCTTTGTTCTGAATGCAACCTGTATGCGTTAATGAGCTCAACTTTAGCCACCAATTATATATTACTATAAATTGAACGAATAATTTTACTGGATAGAATGAAGTAATATAGTTGGCCTAAACCTTCATTGGCAAATACACAAGTTCTAGACCTGGTTAACATAACACAAAATTATGTGCGAGTGAGATCTGTATAATACATGACCAAGGTCGCTATCAAACTATTAAGTAAACTAAAGTAGTTTCTGAAACTGCAAACTCGTTTGAATATTGAAGATTTTGGCATTAATGGAAAGATACCATGATTGCTATCAAAATAACGAGGATTTTGGCATTAATGGTAAGCTCGGTTTTTTATTCCAAAGTGAAGACTTGGAAGAGGAAAACTTGGCAATTCTTCCTGCAAAAGAGGCTGCTAGTTTTGGGGATAATGCACAGGAAAGCTTGAGACAAACATGGATTTTTCTCCCCTTCTGAATTTGGAGTTATGTTTCAACAACGGATTCTTCATGGGTTGGTCTTGTAGATTATTTAAAGAAACCAGAGGTTAGTTTATCACCAATTCCAAGTGAAAAGAAGAAGAAAGCCTCTTTGATTCTTCTTCGCAGGTTGGTCTTTTAGATTATTTGAAGAAATTAATGGTTATTTTATCACCAACTTCAAATGAAACGAAAAAGAGAGCCAAATGGAGATAGGATTCAAAAGTATGCAGTAAACATGTAAGTTGGCCCTATATATATATATGTAAAAGAAGCTAAAGGGTGCATAGAAGTTCGGGCCAACTTTCGGTTCAAAGAAATCTGTTAGATTTCAAACACATTTATAGTATCGCTTCACTTATTGTCCAATAGAAGTGTTTTTTTGTAATTCCTTTGGCATCTTGCCCTTTTGTAATTTCATTATTCAATGAAATGAAGGAACCTATTTTTCAAATAAATGAAAAACAATAAATAAATAATAAAAAAGAAGTTTAAGTTTCTCAGACGGAAGCTCTTAAAATTCTCTTTGTTTTGGTCGCAAAGAGGATTCAAAATTTTTTTAGGAGATTTCTTTATGAGGCATGTAAGGAAAATATTTTAGCAACCTCCTTTTGTTGGGCGGTTAAGTTTTGAAATTTCTCTAAACGGGATTTAATATAAAGTTCGTTTCATTTCCTTGTAATTTTCAGTTGTCTAGGAGACCTTTGTATTCTTCAAAAAGAGTTTTGTACCTCGTAACTTTTCGTTATCTCAATGAAAAGTTAGTTTTGTGTCAAAAAAAAAAAAAAAAAGAAAAGAAAAGAAAGATATTGAGGCATAAAGAGGTGAAAGAGAAAAGATGTCGTGTAAATGAAGCATATCACTTCTACGTACCTTGGGTGGTTTAAATGGATAATCTGGAGGGAAATGAATGTTGACAAGAAATACTCCTCCTGCATATGGACTGTCAGGAGGGCCCATAATTGTTGCTTGCCAATGGAACATGTCTTCAGCTACTGGGCCTAAAGATTTTCATTGAATAGACCATTAAAATTAAGTGAACATGATAATTCTATAACCATTATTTATGTCACACGAGGTACAATAAAAATATGATCTAACAGGGAAAAAGTCGCAATATAAAATTCATAAATGAAAAAAGACGGAAAAATATAAAATTTACGAGCAGTTCCACTTACAAGTAATATCATCGTGTGAAGACTTGCACTAAAAAATTTATCAGTAAGACTAAAAGTGGTTCTTATTCCACCAGTAGTAAATTTTGAAGGCTGATTACAAGTTTGACATCCAAAATTTCAGTTCTCACACGAAGAATTATAATTAAATTCAAAATTATGATACAAAAAGGTTGGATGCAAAATCCTTAATGAGCAAGCTTAACTACTGAGATATTTTTATTGTAGATGTATCAGGACTTCGAAGTTATAAACTTATAAGGTCATCAAGGTCGTTAAATAAAATTATGATACACAAAATATAGATGCAGAATCCTTGATGAGCAAATTTAACTACTAAGATATTCTGATTGCGGATCTATTCACTTGGAAATTATAAACATAGAAGGTTAACTTCAAGGCTCAATAAGCATTCGATACATAACTCTCTGATTAGCTTGAATATTTTCAGGGGCAGTAACTTTCAGTTTCCACTTTGAATATGTCAAAATATCCTAAACTTCCACACTTCTTATAAATCTTCAGTTTTAGTCTTTGTACGTTACATATAAAAAAAATATTTTGGTCCATGAATTCAATTTTTATATCTATTATTTAACAAACACCTAATACAGACGTGTTTTGTGGATATTTACACATAACAGAACTTGGAGCTAGAAATAGAGGATCAAGTGTTAGATTTCAAAAAGATTTATGATAAATAATTAATGAAAAAATAAGTGAAGAGTTGATATAAACAGATCACTTAAACGTTTAGGGACAAGAACAAAGTAAGAATAAGTATAGATTCTGCTTTTGAATTGTATTTGACGTGTTCATATCAGTTAGAGAGAAGTTGTGCAATAATCGCAGCAGTTGGAGAGTTATTTTGCCTACAAATACTCTTGTGCGGATGCTATTATACTTGGCAATGAAATACAGAAGGATTCCTCTCTCATTCTTTCTTTCTTCTCTCTATCAGCATTATTCTTGAACTTTATGATTAGGAATCGAAGGAGGCTTAATGATTTAAACACATACAGGGAAACTGGTAACAAGTTCACCAACAATATGCAAACAAAAACGACGCCAAACTGACAAATTAATGCTCAGCACACAGTCGCAAACATGCACAAGGATCATAAGCTAGAACAAATTGGAATGTTACTATGATCCTGTAGCAAATACGGCAGTTTAAGAACAACAACAGTCAGAATCAAAGATCAGAACTCTCAATTGCCATCTTCTAAAGTCCTAACATGTCCAAAACCTAAAAACGTGCAATAACATGATCTATCCTCGCTCACTCATGCTAAAAACCAAAAAACAACAACAAAAAAGAAGAACATAAACATCAAACAGAGCTCCATCCAGTTTTGCACGAAAAAAACAAAACAAAACAAATCAAACAAGTAGATTTTCAATTTTTCCAAGCCTCCAGGTAAATCAGGCAGGAAACAGGCGATGAGAACGACGGTGAAAAATATTAGAAAGAAGAAGAAACCTGCACTGCAAGACGTAGGAGGATCCTTCTGGAGATCCTTGAGCTCTTTCAAGATCCGCTTCGAAGCCATCGCCAAATTCCAAAAGAGTGGAACCTCTACAGATCGTTTCGAGTAGAGAATCACAGAGAAAGAACAAGGAAGGAAGAAATGAATACACCAAAAGAAACAAAAAAGGAAAAATAAAACACAAGCTGAGAAGAGAAGAAAGGAATAGAAAGCTCACCTTGAGATCCTCCTGCGTGTTTGTTGTTTTGCCTGAGAGAAGAGAGGATTTTCAATTATTTACAAATCCACTTTATATATTCCAAAAAATATAAAAATAAACTAAATACAGAGAAAGGGAGGGAGTGGGGGCTGTGTACTCTACTCCGTAGACTCGTTTAGCTGATTGGTCTTTTCATGTGGACCCCACCATGAATATTCATACCAATTATTTACATATTTAATTCCCTAGAACCCTAATCCTTTGCATTATTTTTACTTTAACCACTATTCTTTTTTCTTTTTTAATTACATCTAAATACTACTTTTTACATATATTTTAAAATATTAAACTAAATTTTAAAAAACTTATTATTATTTTTTAAATTTAGTTTATAATTTAAATATTTTATTTTTAAAAATATGAAATCTAAGTAGAAAATTTAATCATAGAACGACATAATTTTTTTAATTTTTTTTTAAAAAGAATTAAATGATTATAAAAATAAAACTTTGGTCTTTCAATTCAGTTTTTATGAATTTGATTGACTATAAAAAATATTTAATCTAATTTTGCTATCAAAATTTATAGAAAGTTGGTATAAATTTTGAGATTTATTTTTTTCTTTTAATTGACCCAATTGAAATTACTAAATTAGAAGGTTTAAAATAATAAATAGTAAATTTGAAAGAAAAAAGAATATTATAACTTAAATTTATGGTTGACTCTTTTGAATTTTCTAACTTAGAATATTCTCTATTTAAAAAAAATGAATAAAAATGTTATTGCTCGAGTCAAAGATGCACTTTATTTTAAATTTGAAATAAAAAAAGATTCCAATCTCTTGTCTTTATCCCATATATTTTTATGTACCTAAAGAATTACTAAAAAATCCTTTTATTATTTTTATTTTGAGAAGAACAAAATATTATTATTTTAGGTGGAAAATTTTGCCATTTGTTGGCCTTTGAATTGCAGCTAAAAATAACAAGCCGAGTATGAACTGAACTTGTTCATTTACTGTTGCAAAACTAGAATCTGAGAAAGAGATTCAAATCTAAAAAGGAAAAAGAAAAAAAAAAAACTTGTAAATACTAAATGAGATGTAAGAACTATAAGAACAAATTGGGTCCAAACTCACTGAGAGGCTAAATTTTCTGTCCCAACAGCTTGTGGCATTGTAGTTTCAGATTGATGTGTGGAAGAAGGTCGATTCTCGGCTTCCATTGGTCGAACGGTTTCGATCATTGTCACAACTTCTGCCATTTTAGGTCTCTGATCTGGTATCCTGGCCACACATGATAGGGCTATCTGCAACATCTCAACCATTTCTTCCTCTATGTTGGGATACCTCATTAGCTGTATATCAAATACTTCAGCTGTCCACTCCTCTCGGACAACTGAGTGAACCCATCTCACCAAGTGGACGATCTCTTCACCACCCGTTGCGTGTATTGGAGACTTTCCGGTAAGAAGCTCGAGGAGTACCACGCCGAAGCTGAAAACATCTGAAGCCTGTGTTGCCTTGCGGGTGTCGGTCACTTCCGGGGCTCGGTAACCAGCAGCACGGGATATAGGTGGAGAGAGTGAGCTTGTTATGGTTGCTAGTCCGAGATCAGACACACATCCGTATTGTTGAGAATTTAGAAAGATGTTTGAGGATTTCACATTGCCATGGACTAGCTTCCCTCCATTTTCGGCATGGACTCGAGCAATCCCTCGTGCTGCACCAACTGCAATTCTCAGTCTAGTGTCCCAATCTAATGGGGTCTTTTCCTCTCCGCGTTCACCTGGAAAAAAGGCACATTTATGACTCGGAGAAGCAAGCATAAACATTTGGAACACTGAAAACTATCGAAGTCCACCGCTACCAAATATTCTCCTCTTCAAATTTTTCCTTTCGGGCTTCACTTCAAGGTTTTTAACACGTGTCTAAGAGAGAGTAGTTTCCACACTCTTGTAAGAAATGTTTCGTTTCCCTCCTAGACGCATGTTAAAAACCTTGAGGGGAAGCCCGAAAGGGAAAACTCAAAGAGGACAATATCGGCTAGCAGTGGCCTTGGGCTATACAATTGGTATCAAAGCCAAACACCAGGCGGTGTGTTAGCGGGTACGTTGGTCCCCAAGGAGGGTGAATTGTGAAATCCTACGTCGGTTGGAGAGGGGAACGAAACAGTCCTTGTAAGGGTGTGGAAACTACTCCCTAGTAGACACGTTTTAAAAACCTTGCGGAGAAGCTGGAAAGGGAAAGCACAAAGAGGACAATATCTGCAGACTTGGGCTATTACAAATGGTATCAGAGTACCATCTCGACTTTATTTTCGGTCACACAGCTGATTGTAGTGTTAGGCTAAGCCATTTCCGTAAAAGAATTCACAGCTTACAAGACAAACTCTGGCTTCTAACATAAAGTCCTTCCTAACAAACTCAAAATGAACTTCGCTCATGATAACAAGTTGATAAAATCATATGGATTCTGCTACTAATTCAACCAAAATAGAGCATGCAATGAAAGATAGTAATTCTAGTTATAATCTTAAGTAGAGTGTAAAGATGGCAAGCATAAATAACGAAACTACAAGGTACATAATTGAAATGGTAACGTACCGTGCAACATAGCCGAGACGCTACCCTGACCATAGAAATCAAAAACCATCAGCTTCTCATCTTTGGAATAATAATAGGCCTTCAACTCAGCCACATTCTCGTGCCTGATACTGCCCACAATCTCCATTTGCTGCTCAAAATCACGTTTCCCAGCACTTACATCCTTCAACCTCTTAACAACAACAGTGGTGGCATCCTCCAGAACTGCTTTGTAAGCAGTACCAAAAGTCCCCTTCCCCAACACCTCAGCAGAAGCCCTCAACAAATCCTCCAAGTCAAAAGCATAATGGCACCCCTCAAAGAACACCAATCTGTTGTTTGCATCTTGAGTCCTTGATATCACCTTCTCCGGCGACATTCCACCTTTCTGCAGATCCCCTGAATATGCTTCCCTCTTCCTTCTTGAGCAGCATACAAGTATCAGAAAGCCAAATGCTAAGAGCCCCAGAATAGCACCAGCTATTATAATTCCTAATAATGCTGCTTCTCCAAGCCCTCCAGCATTCTTGGGCTTTTCATTCCACAAAGGCAATGGTGGGGGCAGGGGAGGATTGTTTGGCGAAGAACTATCAAAGGATATGTCATTGCCTACAAATACAGACCTTGGAAATCTCTGTAATGATTTAGGCACACTCCCATTCAAATTGTTGTTGGATAAATCCAGAATCTGCAATTTGGGAATTTGGAGGTCAGGGATTTCTCCTGAGAGAGAGTTATTTGCGAGACTCAAACCCGTGAGTGCTGGAAGATTAGAAAGCGAATAAGGAATGCGGCCATTGAAGCCATTGTTAGAGAGATTCACAGAGGTGAGATTCTTCCAAACAGAGAAATTGGAAGGCAATGGCCCGGAGAAGTTGTTGAACTGAAGATAAAGATAAGACAAGTTAATAAGATTTGAGAAATCAGATGGGAAATCCCCTGTTATACGGTTGGATCGTAGACTCAAGATTTGTAGCGCCGAGAGCCGGCTGAGAGTGTTCGCCGGAATCGGGCCGTGGAAGCCAACTCCGGGCAATCGAACGGCTATAACACGAGAATCATCTTTACTGCAAGTTATACCAATCCAGTAATGGCAAACAGGAGAAGCCGCATTCCAATTAAGAGAGCGAGAATGAGGAAGATTCTTCACGAAATCAAGCAAAGCTCGCTTATCTTCAACTGGGTCGCCATTGATCGGCGCAAAAACAAACCCCAGAACGAGAACGAAGCTGAAAATCCACAGAGCTTCCATCGGAGGTCTGTAGAGAACAGAACGAACCCAGAAGTGTTTCCCTCCACGCGCGTCTATGGTTCAAACTGCAGCGAACCCAGAAGAGGGAAAACAGAGAAGAGAAATGGGTAAGATACACAAATTTGAAATCTATATAAAAAGGGAGAAAGGAATGTGAAGGAAAAGAGAAACGAAAAACCCAGATTCCAAAGACATTGTCGAGAAAAGTAGAAGGGTTTTGAATTCATAGAACATAGTCAAAAAGGGGTTTATTATATTCCAGAAGTTAGCGAGGGTTCTTCACTCGAAACCAAGCTTCTTTTCGTTGTTTACTCAGTCACTCCATTAAGCATTCGCTTTGCTGTACAATCAAGAAACGAGAAAGGCGAAAATAAAAAACAATTTGCCTCGAAAACGGAGCAAAAGCAGCAAATCAACGCTAATAATTAGCTCAAGATCTAAACTGAAACCCCCAGCTACCCCGTCGCTCAAAAAAAAAAAAAAAAGCAAAAGCAGTTCACAAATCCGAACTAGAAATTCAAAATGCAGGTTGAAAAAAGAGAGCCCAAAAAGAAAAGAAGGTGCAATGATTTCTCTATAACTAATGGCACGATGTGAATCAAATTCAAACGAGATGAACACAGTAACGGGTGGCTAAAAAAGCATCGATACGAAAGTGGAAGCAGTAAAGTTCAGATTGCAGAAATATTGCCAAAAGGGAAGAGGAAAAGCGCTTTCAAACCGCTGCCATTGAAGCCCGGAAGAAGAAGAAAACAGCAATGGCGCCTGTGTCTGTTACACGCAGAGGGAAATTGGGGATTTTGAAGAGAAGAATAAATAAATTGATGATTATTACAAAACGGTAAACTAATAATGGAGAAAGGGCAAACAAAAACCACTGTGGATTGAATGATGATTATAAATCATAGCATCTTTGGACGCCATAAATTTTCATAAATGGAGACGGAGAGAGTTTCACGAAATGTGGGGCCGATTATTAATTACTACAAATATTTGGGGTTTATTTTTATTTTCCATTTTTTTTAGTACCACAGCATAGTAGTTGGGAGGTTTTTGCACCGACGAAATTATAATAAATAACATTATTATTTTTTAATGTCGTATTTATTTATGTTTTTTATTATTATTATTATTAGTAGTTGGAGTCTAATTCATTTATTAAAATTTCAATGAATTTCACAAATCATTATTCTTGTTGTTATATTGAACACGTGGCAATTATTCCCATGTTTTATATTTAGATAATTGTGTTAATTAATTGCATTAAATTTAAGGTTTTAAAATTGGTTAATACTATTTTCTTTACCTTTAGCATAGTTGAAATTAAACTTAAAAAAGTATTAAAACAAATTAATATTGTTTGTTTATTAAAAAAGTAACATTTTTTCTATGAAGAAAAATCAACAACAGAATTTATTACGTAATAATTTTGACAACTGTTCGGTAAAGATGGGGATGGGGCCCACTTAGCAGCATCGTAACCATGTACCTTGGCGAACATATCCTTCCGCTGGCCGGAAATTAGCTGTGGGACTAAGATAAGGATCAAATTTTAGATGTATATACCTCTGACACCTGAGTAAGGGTGTAATACATGACTAAATGTATCGATATCACATTCGAAATATGTATATCAATAATGGAAATCTTTCTTTTTGGTGATTCAATCATATAAATTTTATAGTTAAGTGTAATTGTATATTGAGTGACCTCTTATAAATTTTTCTAGAATGCATGTGACTAGAGAGAAGAACTTAAGAGTAAATTCACTTAGCACTTCAACTCAACTCAATCCTTTATGATCGTGAACCTTATTTGATTTATTTAGGTACATGAAATTTAGAATTGGTCGAGAAATTTTGTCAAACTAAACTCATGTGCACCCCAACTTGGCTCTTTAAACCTAATTTCTCAAATAACATATTTCTTTTGAGCATGTTCGTGAAAGAAACGACATTAACATTTTACTCGAGAGTGATTTTAGAAATTTTATGGAATTTTGGTGGTTTGTTTGGAACGGGAAAAGGCCAAGAAGTAGGGCAAAAGAGGAGAAGAAGAACCGATCACATGGAAATGCATATGTTCGAGATAAGAATGAAGCTAATTGAGTTGCATTGAGACATTGAATCACATAAAAGCAAAAAAGATTGTGTTGACATGTTTTTGGAGGTTGTTATTTGTCCCATGGAACAGCTTGGTTAGCTTCTAATGCTTGTCTTCCAACATAACCCAACAAGACACAAAGTCAATATGTGGTGAAAGTGCTTTTTTTCAAGTCTAGTCCACTCTGATTTCACCCACTCCTCATGCTTCTTGCAAATCCCTTTTTTGGACCCTTCTCAATGGATTCCACATAAACCACTTAATCTAATCACTCCCATTTTCTTTGTGTTCTCATCCATCTAATCATTCTTTATCCATTTATCTTATTTTCATTTACTTCTTGTTTGATTCGAATCGATTTACACAATTTTTCGTGACACAAAACACCTCAACCCTTTTATCTCTGTATACATCACCACTTGACATTTACCGTGTTGATGAACAGCTCATCTCGTCTTAACATTTTCATTGAGTTCTAAAAAAATTTATTACTCATAAGAGCCGTTAGCTCTATTATATTATATGTTCTCAAATTCCAACCTAACTCAGGGTAAATAAGATCGAGTGGTTATGTTTATGAAAGGAGAATATAGTAATTTCGCTTTTTTCAATAGTACAAGACTAAATCTGTACAAGTTTAGTTAGAGATGAAATGGGCTTTTTTGCTTATAGGCCCAAATTTAGATGGAAGCTTCCCGGTCCAAATAAACAGGCCCATGACATCTATGTGGGCCTATTTATCCAAACCATAAAGAACATATTTGGTTTGCTTATGAAATCATCGAAATACATACATATTGATTTACTATAAAAAAAAAATTTAAACAAAATTTTATTAAAAAATTATGTTGAAAAAAAAAAACTTTAAAATAAATATTTAAAAAATAATAATAAACAAAACAAAAATACTCATAAAAATCTAATCTAATTTAAAAATATTTATTCCAATGTAATTTTATATAAAACTTAATTTAAAATAATTAGAAGTCAACTATAATATTTACCAGCAAAATAATAATAATAATAATAATAACATCTGAAAACGGAACAGGACAGCATCTCCACTAATCACCCCACATGCATGGCATGCAAAGCCTAATCAGCAAAATGAATTCATTAATGAAATTAATTAAGTCATAGATTGTGATTAGACGTGAATTATAATCAAACAAATAAAGGGGAATCAATGGACATAGGGTATAGTTTTTAAGTACAATTCTTATAATTATTATATTATATGAATTAAATTAACAAATCTCTACATACTTCTACAACTTAGGGTTTCCCAAATGAATAATATCTTTATTATTTTATGTTTCTCTCTTTCTCTAAGTGCTCTCTTAAACTATCATTAAACCCGATGCCATAATCACTTTATCAATTAATATTTATGTTTTAAAAATACTTTATATTTCTTTTATTTCCCAAAATATTTCAGCACGAGGAATTTAAGGGATGCTTCTTGCTAAATGCTGCTCGAATCTCGTATTTCTACAATTTTATATTATCATAAAATTGTTAAAAAAAGCCAATTTAAAGACAATTAGTGTCACAGTTCAAGCTTACCGTTAGCAAATATTGTCTGTTTTGATCCGTTACGCATCGTCGCCAGTCTCACGATTTTAAAACCCGTCTACTATGATCAGTGTCTCGCATCGTCCAGTGTCTGACACAGCTCAAGCTCACCACTAAAAATATTGTCCTTTTTGATTTGTTACATAGGATCGTTTGGCAATAATTTAAGGGCCAATTATATTTGACCAAGCCATTTAATTGGAGAATAAAGGTATCTTAATTATGGGCCCAAAAGCTTCAAGTATGTGCCCCGTTAACCAAATATATTAACGTAATTGTCAAATTGATGAGGTACAAGAAAATCCTCGGATCAACCTTATATTAATTAAGGTTTATGCTCCCAATGTACTATATATTATCCATAAAAATTCTAATTCCTTGTCGGATTTGAATTGCATGGTTAGGGATGGTCAAGAATCCATCTATTTTCTTCTTATACCCTATTTGTATTCAAATATAATGCCTCACGTTTAAAATTTGAAAATTTGGGTCTCGAACGTTCCAAATAGCATTCGAACAAAATCCTTTCACAATTACATTAAATGTTATTGGCTTGTGATGCATATACGAACTAATGACTATATCAGAATGAGAAAGATTTTAAGAATGCACGACATGGTTACGAAAATACTTAAAAGAATTAGTAAAAGAACCTTTTGGGTCACTCATAAAATAGATATTGTTTACTTTGACCTATTACATAGCGCCGTTAGTTTGACCGTTTTTAAAATGCGTCTATTAGAAAGAGGTTTTTAGACTTTAATGGACGTGGGATGGGAGGGGAAATAAAAAAGAAAATGAAGAGGGCATATGGTTTATGTTACCAATGAGATTGGGGATGATTACAGGAGAGGGAACATAAGAATCAGACAAGATGTGACAATGAAATTTGGTTTTTGATGAGCTGAATCACAACAGTGGCAATGCAAATCTTTGAAAGTCTCAATTGGAGATGCTAATTGGCCACTTTCCTAATCTTTGCATTATTTACACTAAACTCCAACCTAATCTAATCATTAATCAACAAATTCACACTAATCTTTCTTCCTAATAGATCCTTATAATAGTTCATTTTTGGTACAACAAACCCTAAAATTGAAACACAGATATAAAGGATTTTTATGATATGGATGGATCGAAGCTGGTAAATTAAGGGTAAAAACAATTGAATGAATGAAGATTGAAGAAGAAGAGATGAACAGGAAGGCAGGCAGGCTTTTGGGGTTGATATGACACTGTTTCAGGAAGTGAGTGACAATGTGATATCATTAAAGTTACATAGACATTGTCTATTTCTTCTTCCCCATCATGCATTCTCCCATTGGTTGCTTTGTGGCTCCCCCACTCCACCCTTCTATGTCTCTCCCCTTCACTTACCTCATTATTTTTCATTTGAATTCCATTCCATTCCCTACCATACAATACAATTCTCTTTCTCGATCCTTTCAATATTGAGCGTTTTCTAAACAACATACTAAAATGATTCCCAGTGATTTGGAACTACGTGGTCGATTCGTAAGAAAAGTATAGAAATATCGAGTATGAATCCTGAATATAAAGTATTATGTTAGCTCAATTTGATAATATGCTATAACATTTGTATGATGAATAACACATAAAAATGTTTGATTGGGGAATCTTGGAAATCTTATCTATTCCCATAGCACAGGATTTTAATTATTGTGCCCAAACAAGTTCCCAAATTTCAATTTCCAACATTGTTTACATCCAAGTGTTAGGTTTGTTTGAATCAAAATAGAATTTGAATCAAATGACCTAAACCCTAAACAAAAACATGTAAAAAGGTTAAAAAAAAAAAAAAACACAAATGAAAGAACAGCCACCCAGAATATTGGAATGAATAAGAACAAAGATCGAAAATTTTCGAAAACCCTTTTGAGAAAACACAAAATTAAAGAAACCCAAGTGAAAAAAACACACAAATTTTGGTTGTTGTTGGTTGTGAAGAGGTATGAGGGAGCATGCTCCAAACAAGAGCCCTCAAAATGTTGCACTAAACAGACAGATCCATTCTGAGTCCGACACCAAATTCTTAACAAAAACATATCATCTTCTTCTTCATAGTCAAACAGCACTAACACTGCTGCGTGTTGCCTGTGTAGTGGCTCGTGGGTGCGGCCTCTGTCCACCATTTGAATCACTTTTCTTGGCTATCTGTCTCTCATTAACAGAAATGGAAGCTAAATCAAAACCTTAATTCATGTATTATTAGCCTAAAAATCTGTAAATCTCTTGAGTTGTTAAGTGTTTTGGTGGATGAAATTATATTTTAAGGAAGAAAGTGGGTAAATTTTGAATTAAGTGGGCGTGCTAGTAAAGCTGGTTAAAGAACACAAATCCGACGTCTAATTCTGGTGATGTTTGTTTTTTTCTTTGTTTTTGGAGATTCACTGCCCACTTTTGATTAGTCTTTTCACCTGCAGAAATGGAAAAGAAATTACTATTAGTTTATAATGTGAATTTGTACTTCCACCAACTTGGCTGCACAAAGCAAACAGTGTATTAGCCGTACTTAAATGTCTTTGGACTTGTAAATCTTCACATGCTTTTATACTCATGTGTTGCCCTTATGCTATTAAATTAATACATTATTCTTTGATTACTTTCTATAAAGAGCTGCGATGGGATTAAAATATGGCGTTAAAGTTAGGATTTAAGTGGTCCAATTCTCAGATATATGTTTCGAGTCATTACTATATGCATGACATTTAAACAGAATGTATAAATTGATGAAAATAAAAATTAGTGGAACCAAACTTTAACCCACAAATCCATTCAAAGATGGCTAAAATAACTGTGTTAGTTCACGATTTTTATGTAATATAAGCACGCACGAGGCATTTTAGTCAAGCTAAAGTATCAAATTGTTCATGACTATCGTTCACTAGTTTTTTCATAAGTTGTCACGCAAAGAGGTAGTTTCAATTATGATACTGTGAGATCTCACCTTGGTTGGAGAAGGGAATGTAACATTTCTCATAAGGGTGTGGAAACCTTTCTCTAGTAGACACGTTTTCTTTGGGGTGTTGCAGATACATATCATGTAAAGTTTATTCAGTAAAGACAATAGATCGTCAAATAGTTCCTGATCCGAAAATAGAGGGTTGGATTGTGAACTTTATTTAGGTTACTCATATTATCGATCTAATCAACTCAAAATTTCGAGTTCGATAGCCCGTATATACTCCTCTACCGACGTGAATAGTAGTGTTGGGTTGAGTGACAAGTTGCAACAAAGATAAGAGGATAAAATTATGTTTTAATTGTGTGGTAATATACAAAAGATTGATGCTTCTAACTTGCTCTTTGTCTGGAAATTAAAAAAAAAAAAAAAAAAAAAAACACACAATTATTTAGTTTTGTCCCATCATAAACATGAACCCTAGGGACACTAGCCTTCTACTAGCATCTCTAGCCCTTAACCATATTATTTATTTAATTAACACTCTTAATACTTTTTATTACTTTAAAAAATCCGTATAAAATCCAATGTGGATAAAATCTACACGTTCGTTACATATCAAATCCAATTTTTATATTTAATAAAACATGTAATTTTAAAATTAAAGGTAATTAAAACAAAATTCAAATTTTTGACTGATTGATCGACAGACATCTAGTTTAATTCTGTTTGTAATTTAAAAGACTAAACTACCCTTGAAGTTAATTTTATCCACAAACAAAAAAATCTCTATACCATAGTACATATGTACATATATGTATTATATAAATTGGAAAGAATATGATGCTTCCTTCCTTAGTTATTAATAAAATTAGAGCAAAGTTATGATTTTTATAGAGGAGATTAGGGCATATGCATAGGTAAGCAACAAGGATTCCAAATCCAAAAGAGATTTGTAGAGAAAGGGAAGAAGAGAGAATATGGGTGTCTCCCATTAATATTTTCTTCTGTTCCTTCCTTTAAAAATCTCTCTCTCTCTCTCTTCTTTCTCTCTCCCCCTTATCTTTATAAACCCCTCTTCCTCTTCAGCCTGAGATCCATGGCTAGGTTCTTCTCCAAAATTGTTGAATACCCTTCAAAGGGTGTCTCTTGTTTTCTAGGGTTTTTGGTTGTTGGGATAATTTGTGAGGGTTAAGAGAGCTTTCTTCAGTCCACTCATGGGTGGCCGTAGGGTTTAATTAGCTGCCGACTCATTCGTTCAAATACTGAGTCAATCAATCGGCTGTCGATTCAGTAAACGAGTGAATGATGCGGGAGACAAATTGAATCTTAAGCTTCCTGTACTTGGACTGAAGGGAGCTCCCTTTCCTTTCGAACCCTTTTTTTTTTTTTTTTTCTTAAAATCTCTCACTTTTCCCTGTTTTTGGCTGTTAATTTTGCTTCGAGATCGAGATCTCGAACAACTTCAACATTCATTCTATACCCACTTACACAAATTCAACGTTTTGTTCAAATAAATCATCAAAATCTTAACTTGTTTTTGTTTTTATTGGTAGAAAGCTAGCTTGGGTTTTGGATTCAGATTCTTCGCTGAGACCCGAAGGTTTCAGGTGAGATTACTACTCAACTTGACCGTTAACGTATATTATTTACTTGACCGTTAACCTATATTATTTACTGTCTCTAAAGCGCTTCTACTAGGAAGAGGTTTTCAAATTATTAGAATCGACATGGTATTTCACATTTTACACGCTTAGGGTCTAGAGTCTAGTGTTTTGCTCTGATACCATCTGTAACCTCTCTAATACCTCTGATACTATTTGTAACCTCTTTAATACCTCTGCTAATAGATATTGTACTACTTTTACCTAGTGCTTGGTCTCCCTCTCAAAAGAGTGTTGTAGATTAGGGTTTTGGAAAAGATGGAATATTTTTGAAGGGACAGAGCGAGGAACAGAGAAGAGGTTACTGGACACGAGCTTCGACGCCATAGCTTCTTGGGTGTCGGTCTAAATGCTGCAACAAGTTCCCAGACATGTTACACTCTCCCATCCTTTTAGACTAGAGAGAGAAAGAGAGAGAAAAAGATAACTCATTTATGTTTGTGTATTTTACCATTTTACCCTTTCTCTTCTATGCCTGTCTTTTTCTTATTATTACATTAACCATCTTTTTCAAACCAAATCTTAGAAGAAAACGACTGTTTTCTTTTCTTCTGTCTGATTATTAGCTTCTGAGATGTTTTTTTTTTTTTTTTTTTTGTTTTGTTTATTTAAGGTTACAATTTAATTTAATTTAATTTAATGTAGAACTGTAAAAGAAGGAAAAAGATGATAGCTTTATTTGATGGGTTACTGAGTTTATGTTGTCATTGTTCTTGTTTTCTCTCCTTCACTGCAGCAGTCGTTGGTGGATCTCTGTGTCTCTCAATCAATATCTGTCGGTCATCGCTAGGCCTCTGGTGGTTGCCCTGCTGCTAGCTTCGTGGTGTCAGCTTGTTAAGTAAATCAGCCTTTCCAATGAGATTTTATGGGTAAAAAGGTGTAGCTTTGAGTCCTTCAATTAATGCATAAAGGCCATCTGGAGTCCTAAATTCTCTCAGCCATCGGTTAAATTGCTATCTAAATTGGTCTCAACACTAGAAGCCTATGGAAACCTTCATCTTATTCTTTAAATTTTATATTTTTAATGGATCATCTTAGGGTTAGGTTAGAAATGTATAACGAATGCATTTATTGCTTAATTTGGATAGTCATAAGATCTCGTCTATATTCACGAATGGTATGCTATTATGTCTCACAGATGAGATTCCGTCACTTTTCGTTTAGTTGTTATGAAATTTCTTGATATTTCTATTGATACAATTTACTTGCGACTTATCTCGGCTAATACTTCATTCAAGGGTTATGTTTCAAGTTTTTTGATATTTTGTTTAGTGGCAAGGATGTACGAGGCGATGGAGGGGAGGAATATCGATTGAGTCATGGGGTTGTGTCAACATGTTTATACAAGCGAAGCTGTATCACGATAATTTTTGAAGAGTTCAAGTTCATCGTTAGTAGATATTTAGTGTGATGAAGAAATGAAAACATTATTATTTATATTGATACTCAATTTGTAATGTTTTGATGGTGAAACTGCTCATCAAACCAAACCCTGAAGAACCTGATGTAGCCAAAAACTTTGTGTTGATAAAGAAAGTTACCCTTTTTTCAATCTTTATTAAAATTCTGTTTCCTTCTGTGATTGGACATGTTTGAACAATTTTATTAGAGGACAAAATTTTGGTGTTTTCAATGTCGTTTTCATAATCATTTCGTTTCTTTTTACCATTTTCTTTTGAAATCATTCCACCCAGAATACGATTAATTCGGCATGGGCTACATGAGCCCGCCCTTCCTGACCCGAACACGATTGGTGCTGACCACACTAGGGGCTAGCCCTCTAAACGTGGGGTAACAAGATGAAATGGTATTAAAGATGATAATACTTTATTTAATGATTCATATCAATAATAGATGAAATGGTATTAAAAATGGTATTTAGGGGTTGAGGCGAGAAATGGCTTGATGAACCGTTCTATTCGCCACACACCGCCCCCATTCACTTGCTTATCGTAGAAGCTTTCCCCACAACTATTAATAGTATAGTGGAGTTGAAGTACGAGAGTGTCCGCCCTTACAATCTTAGTTAACGAGTTAATTGAACTAGTTTATGATCACTTATGCTCTATCTTCTAATTTGAGGAATTAACGAATCATTCCTTGTATAAGGATGTGAAAATCTCTTTTCAATTGACGGTGATACGTATAAGGGTGTGATAAGAAATTAATACAAAAAAAAATTTGATAACATAAACAACATGAATACTTGGGGAGAATAAACTTTGAACTTATGTCACCATATACATATATATATTACTTTATTCTCCTAATCTTTGGTAAAATTTGGTAATTTTTGAAGATTCCACACAACCCAACTTGCTTATTTCGAGTAGTTTTATGATGTTCATAGATTCTGACCCACTAATTTTTAATAAGTTACTATTAGGGTCCCTTGAATCAACTTGATTCTTTCATTTAGTTGTGTTAATGATTGATTAATACGTAGAGCAAGATTCCCAATGTCACAAAATCCAAACATTTCATTTATAATATATGCTTCTTGCTGCCATTGTCATAACCCCAAAGCCTCTTGCTTTACATTTGTTTTGTTCATATCTCTTGATTTTCCGCATGCCCATCTTCTTCAATATGGTAATTCAGATCTGGAATTCGGGTTTTCAGGTCGATAATACCCGAACTTGATACTATAATATATTTGAGAGTCATTACCAATCCTTACAGGTGCTGAAGTGGAATGTAAAACTGTACTATGCTGAGACATAACAAGGATACATAAGGAGAGGGATATCACCAGTACTCCAAAAAAGTAGGATTAAACAGTTCACTTGAAAAGTTTTAACCGCGACCGACTTCCCTTTGTCCTTGCTTCAAGAAGCTTCATGTGCAGAGTGTTCTCCTTTAGTCCGGGAGGCAGTTTCGACGATGTCGATGACTGTTCGGTGTTCGTGTTGATCTCTGGGGCTGCTGTTGTTGTCCACTGTCTCACTGGACTTGCTTTGTTCCTCCACCCTGTGTTGCTGCAGGAGGCCTCACCATGAGCTTCTTCAGGATGCACATTGTCCCCATGAAGGAGTTGGTTTCTGATAACGATATCCAGCATGTGATTCGAATTCGAGACGTGGATCGAGTCTTGGCAATTCTCAGTCTGGCAAGGTTTGTTTACTTCAGCGGACGTTCCTTCGTTCTTCTTGTTTCCGATGCAAGACATTGCCCAAGCCATTTGTTCTTCAAACCGTACTTGCAAGCTGGATGGAGTGTGGCTTTTAGACCTCTCGTGAGACCCGAGTTTCCTTTGCGTGTCGTTTGATTTCCCTGCTTTGTCGACATGATCTTCTGTATTCTCATTTTCATGAGTCATGGTATTGCTGTTGTTTGGCTTGTTTAACTCGAAACAATGTGAATCGCTATCTTGAGAATCTTCATCGTCCCGAGCTTGAGGCGCACTGGTAGCCTCATTCAATGGGACCGACTCTAGTGAACTTCGATGGTCCTTTAACAGTTGATCGTTCTTGCTATCGTTAGCACCATTTCGTTTAGCATCAAGAAAGCTCTCGATTTCGACTTGTAATTTTTCTACCACAGACTTCTCGACATAAGCACCATTTTGTTCTTGTAGCATCTGCATTCTTTCATCGAGCCAAGCTTCCGAGATATGGAGAATTAAACCATCACGATCAACTCTTCCCGTGCTGTTCCTATCAGATTTCTGTTTTAAGGCGTGCACCAGGTTTTCGTAGCCTTTTATGCCCTTCGCAAATTCATCACAGAGATCCTCCAAGAGCATCCTAGATTTTCGCTCTCGTTCTATCTCGTTTAGCGCATTGACAAGAGAAGATTTCGTCTCAGAGAGCTCTCTTGCAAACTTCCTCTGTAGGCTCTCAGATCGTTTCTTTAATTTCCTCTCATTTTCAAGTTCATCCCTCATCGACAGAATTGCAGCCTTGATATGATCTTCTTCTTTGTTTTTTCTAATGAGTTTGTCTTCGGAAATTTCCTTTATTAAATCATCCATCTCGTGTCGATCAGCTTGTCGTTGTCGAAGCAGCTCCTTCATCTTGATATGAGTATGGCTGAGTTCTGTTTTCAATGCTTTTATCAAAGCTATATTCGACGCGTGTTGCTCTTCCAAACTCCAGATTCGATTTAATACTTTTAGCAGTTCGGTAGACGTCTTAAGACTATAATGTGGTTCGCCAATTCTTCCCTTGAAGTCCGAAGAACTAGGAGTGATTGCAGGGTTATAAGGTGCCACCTGCAAGAAAAGAAGTTGCAATACACATCAAGAAAGATGTTAGAAGAACTGACTAAACGACGAGCCTGGTTCGGAATCGCTTTGGTCATTTTGGAACGCCTTCGATAAACATAATGGTAAAAGAACAACAGCCAACTTTAGTGATGATTTTCTTAAGCCAAACAGAAACAATTGCACAAGGGAAGATTGTATCAGAAACAATATGCAGAAACATGGGTCCAATTCTAAGGAGAACCGATCGTATCAGCCCAAGCCCACCACTAGCAAACATTGTTTGCTTTGGCCCGTTACGTATCGCCATCAGCCTCACGGTTTTCAAAACGTGTCTGCTAGGGAGAGGTTTCCACACCCTTACAAGGAATACTTCGTTCCCCTCCCCAACTGATGTGGAATCTCACAATCCAGGCCAACGTTCTTGCTAGCACACCACCTGGTGTCTGGCTCTGATATCATTTGTAATAGCTTAAGCCCACCGCTAGCAAATATTTTCCACACCCTTACAAGGAATACTTCGTTCCCCTCCCCAACTGATGTGGAATCTCACAATCCAGGCCAACGTTCTTGCTAACACACCACCTGGTGTCTGGCTCTGATACCATTTGTAATAGCTCAAGCCCACCGCTAGCAAATATTGTCCGCTTTGCCCGTTACATATCCCTGTCAACCTCACGATTATATACGCGTATGCTAGAGAGAGGTTTCCACACCCTTATAAGGAATGCTTCATTCCCCTCTCCAACCAATGTGGGATCTCACAATCCACCCCCTTGGGATCTCAGCGTCCTCGTTGGCACACTGCCCGGTGTCTGACTCTAATACCATTTGTAACAGCCCAAGCCCAAGCCCATCGCCAGCAAATATTGTCCGCTTTGGCCCGTTATGTATCGCTCTCAGCCTCACGATTTTAAAACGTGTCTGCTTGGAAAAGATTTCTATATCCTTATACTTCGTTCCCCTCTCTAACCAATGTGGGATCTCACAGAAGTTCATAAAGAAAGCTCATAAAGAAAGCTGACACTAGCTCATTTCCGTTAGTTCTCAGGACAATCAAACATTCACCATACACCTCCTCGACTAAAAAAGGATGCATTTTAGCCTCGAAATTGCATGGAAAAAGAAAAAAACTTACTTGTTAAAGGTGGAATAGAGAAAACAAATTGTACCTCCATAGAGCTTCCATAGCTGGGAGATATGGGCTGAAGAGCTTGATTGTTCCTTTCAATTGATTGATGATGTTGCAATAATGATGCAGCAACATGTCTCCTTAAGCTGCTTGCACTTGCTGGCTGCCATTGGAAGTTAAGGATAAATAGTAGACACAATAAAAACTACCAACCTGGTTGATCTAATGGTTAAGATCCAATCATGAATAGCCAAACAAACGATAACACGTTGGATCGATTTTCTTAAGTAGAGCGTTCGGATAAAAGTGTAGCAATTCATATAACGATGCGAAAATCTAAACCAAATAGTTCTTTTAGAACACTTATGTGCAGAACATCAGTTAGTGCTTATAACTGTGGTCATAAAAATGAAAACACAGAGGCTAATCACATATGTAGTCCTAAGTATGAGCCAAAAGAGATGAGCTAAAATGCACTAAGCCAGACACCAAATACCACATGACCTGTCTAAACCTACTGCAAATTCGCCAACTTCTAACCAAAATCACTTGTTTGATGCCTTTTTTTGGTGTTTTTGGCCATTCCAAATCACTCCAAACATGGCCTAGTTAACCACATACCAGCTAAGAATAAGCAGCTTGCCACAAGAACATTGGATGAAAGCTGATTTATTCATTGAACTTAAAGATGCACCAGAGGAAACAGAGAAGGAACATCATTAAGGGGAGTAATTAAGAGGCCAGAACGCCCAGCCTGAGTTTGTTCTTTCAAGTAATCAACACAAATCAGCCACCAAAAACCCAAAGAAAACAAAACATCCATGTCCCAATTTTACCCTAAGACAGACACAAATCCAAAACCCCAAATCAAGAACAACAACAACGACAAAAAAACAGACCTGCTCAGGAGAGCTGGGGCAAGGATCACCAAGAAAGTTGGAAAGTTCAAGGGCTTTGTCCTTATGATGATGATGGAAGTGACGGCGGCGGATGAGCCTCGAATCAGCAGCACCATTAGAGACGCCATTCTTGGAAGCTCTGTGCATCTTAGGAAGTGGAAGATACTGATGAAACTCCCAAAGGGCAGCCGCAAGCTTTCTGGCAGAGATAGAAGCAGAAGCAGAAGCAGAAGCAGAAGAAATGTGACAAGGGTCTGTTTGGTTAATGATGGTCCGTTGAGGAGGAGGAGCCCAAATCTTCCATGAAGGCACTGGAGTGCAAGGTCCACATCTTTTCCCAATCAAAACCCCTCTCCTTAACTTTTTCCCCAAATTTTCCTCCTTTTCCACACCACCGTTTTCCATTTCCTACTCTTAAAAAAGACCACCCTCCCCCCTTCTTCTCTTTTCTCTCTCATCCATCCCTTTTTCGGCCCTAATTTTCTCTGGGGTTTAAGAAATCAAAACAGAGCTTTTATATTTTCAGGTGGGGCTTCTTTTTTCCCTTCAAATTTCCTTTCTTTTTTAACCTGCCACCCTTCTCCTCTGTGATCTTATCTGAGTCATTTCCATGGCGGCCTAAAAGGGGTGGTGGAAAAGGTTCTTGGGTTACCCGTTGGGCATCTAGCTGGGGTCACCACCTATGACATTTCATTTTTCTGTACGAACCTAATTGAAAAAAGAGGAGAATTTATAAGACCCCTTCAACGCTTATGTCCTTTCACATAATGTTTTACCTTGCCAAGATCAGATTTTTACACAAAATTCTCCCATAATCTTCTTAAATAAAAACAAAGGAATAAAAATATTGGCATTCTGCAGGGGAAAAAACTGCAGAGACTGTCTGCTTGCTTCCTCACGTGGACTTCCTCACTCTGACAGGAAAACCAGAAGTTTATGGATTTGATTAATCCATAATCAAAGTAATTAATATTTAAACATGAAAACCAAAAGGATAAACAAGAGGTTTACTTGATTCCTGTGAATTTGTGATGTGATGTGATGTTTATTCTGGCCGGATGGGTTTGCTTTTGTGAAATGTGAAGTACTATCTTTCATCTGGACCGTTGAATTTAATACATGATTTGGCATTGAGATTGCTGATTTCATCCACCATCTGTCGTTAATGTCTTCAAACATTCTTACAAATGACCTGGCTTGCCCTTCTACAACTGTCCCAACAATACATTTTAATGTTCTAATTTTCCACACGTTTTTTTTAAAAAACCTTAAAATAATTTTATTTAGATTAACATAGATTTTCTTTAAGTTTATTAATTTATATTATTAACATACATAAATTTATAATTATTGGCCTTAATTTACTGTTTTAAAATAATTTTCAAATTAAAATTTTAAATTAATTAATTAATTTATAATAAATGGGGTTTATGGCCCAAAACAATACAAAATTGGGCCCAACGCTTAATGGGCTGAGAGGAGTCTTTTGGCCCAATGGGAACGGATAGAAAGATATGCAGTTGGGACTTTTGGCGCTTCACCGGCGGTCGTTGCTCCTTCTTCTTCTTCTTCGTTTTCGAATCCCCTGAAGACCGAAAGATTCAGGCATTAACAGAGGGGATTGACGAATAATGCCGGGGTCTAATCTTTCACACTTGACATTTCATCCACCTTCTTCACTCTCTACATCTCCAAGATCGGTTGCTTCTTGTTTGGTGTCTCTTAACTCTCCTTGCAGGAGGCTCTCTTCCAACTTCTCGCTTCCCATTGTCCTCAGGTAATTCTGATTCTAAGCAGTCGTTTCTTTGTGATATTCGCTCAGGTTTTGCTTCAGTTAGTAAATCACTCCCTGTAAATTCTATGAATTGGCATTTTAATGTTGCAGGAAGCCTAGTTGTAGTTTGATTTCTTTGGGGAGAGTCCATGGTGGAACCTTGATACCTCTACGGTTTGCAACTTATATGTCTCTCACTGCAAATAAAATTCTAATGTTATAGGTTGATTTTTGAGCTAAAACGTGGAGTAATCAATTTCTGATTGAAGTATGATGTGAGAGCACAGGGTTATAATTATGTTATGTTCTTTCTTCATGCAGCCATTTTTACTGATTTTTTTCTCAGAACTATGGGACAAGACTTTTTTCATTGCAGTAAGTGTGAAATGATGACCAAGTTCTGGTGTGAAAAAGAAACCTTGTAGTCTCCTAAACATGGATACAATAAGAAAGAACTTGGGTTATTGTTTTCTGAAAAATAGTCTTAATTTTGATAGAGTATCGTGCTTCTCCTAATTCTATGTTTACTGTCTTCTGTAGGCTCTCCTAGCAGCTAGGAACTCTGCTGCTATTGTTTTTACTGGAACTTTGGTGCTTTTGCATATGTTATTTCACCATGTGCTGACTATGTATTTTTTTTTACATAGTTGCAACCATTTGGATAAATTCATATCAGTTACCAACAAAGAATCATCATCATCAGTTTTGTATGAATAACAGCTGGGCAGGGACAACATGTTAGTAATCATGAGCTTGCAGTCTCCTTACTTTTGGGTACAGTAATTAGATATAATTTAAGATCCTTCTTCTTCTTCTTCTTTTTGTTTTTTTGGGTTTAGGATCTCTGTTATTGTTTTTTGAAAACTTTCAGGATCTTTATATAAAAAAGCGACTCATGATAGACATGCCTTTAGTAGTCAAATAGTGTTAAAGATTCAATTGGTTCTGTGCCGGGCAATGATATTAATTCAAAAACAGATGAATCACAAGTATTATTTGAAAATGCTATGCTGTTGACATCTCATGAAAGCACGATAAATTTGCTATCAAATCCTTCAAGAGGATTTTGTCTATGGCAGGGCAATGACCATCATATCTGTGTTCTCGGACGAACTTTTCACTATGTTGATGAGATTCTTCCATTCAGGTACGCTCCTTGTGATAAGCACCACTTTAGGAATGTGAAAAAGGAAAGAGTTTCTGTTCTTAAACTGTACGTGATGCACCATTATTCCAATATGGCTTAGATTTACTGATATGGGCCTAAATGAGATCGTGGATTGTGCCCTTTTATTATTTTCAATTTATTGTCTTAAACTCTGATTCCTCTTTAGAAATTCCAATTGCCATCAATATATTTGGTTCTTTAGCCCTCTTGTCTTACATATATGATCACAGGCTAGGTGAGAGTGACTTACCAGTTGATGATATTGTTGCTGTCTGTCTTTTGGTAAAGTATAGTCGTTTTGTGGTTGGCAAAACATCTTATGTTGCTTCCTTATACACTAGAGTAGAGCTGTATGCTTGGCATAACAACCAAATGCGAATTGAAAAGTTTTTATGAATGTAATAGATTGCTTTGGGCTAATTTCAGGTGTATTTTGGGCTCTCAACATTGCTTGATGCCAGCTCAAGCGATGGACTAAAGGCAGAAGACGAGCAGAAGGAGGTAATCCCTTATACGGATGTCTGATGTCTGTGGAAGTATCTTACAATATCCCTTTCTTTCACTTCTTGTTCAAGCCCTAGTGTATGTCTCTACTGTATTTATGACAATTAATTTATATTAGCCAAGTGTTGGGATTTTATGTAAGAATAAACTAGAATTTTATATCTTAAAAGTATATAGAGGAGAATACTAGATAATTAAACGGAAATTTCGGAAATAAATTAATACACCTTGGTGTGATGGCGAAGCCCCATAAGATACAGGAACTAGTCTCAAAACTACTGTAAACTCTTAAGTTTTTATTCCTTCTCTCAAGAATTATATGAAGTCACCAAAAACCCGTGGCTTTGTGTGATTGAACTCCAGTAGCTGAAAATATGTCACAAATTAATAGTTTTGTTTTAATCTGAATCAGGCAGAGATAGCGGTCAAAATTCTCAGGAAATGGTGCTGGGATCTTAGCTGCTGCCAGTACTGTCATCAGTACCTTTGTATTAGTGTTTGTAGCTGAGTGGGGCGACAAGTCATTTTTCTCTACAATTGGTAAGCGGACAGGTCTTTTGAAATCTACATATTGTTGATGTTTGATTAACTTCTTATCAAATTATATTGTTGAAATCTACCACTAAAAATGATGAGTTTCCTCATTTGTCTGTTAACTACGAAAAGATGATGAGTTGATCACCAAGTCTGAAGTATAGAAGTTGATTGAAAGATCGGATCGAATGAAGTAGATATACAAGCCAACATGAATATAACGTAATGGTTAAGATATCAATTCCTTCACTTGAAGTCAGTGGTTCATATTCTCGACCCTACATTTGTTGTAGTAAAAGAAATGAAGTGAACATACAAATTTAAACTGTTTTTTTAACAAAAAACAAAATTTTAAACTGTTACATCTTTCTAAACTGTTATTTAGATCTAATAAGGGCTTTATATTGCCAAGAATTTTTAAGTGTTTTTCTGATCTAATTCTTCCTCCTATATCTGAACTCCAGACTATATTTTCTTTCTCTTACATACATATTTTTTCTTTCTCCATTGTGTAGCCCTTGCTGCTCTGCTTCTTCACCCCTTGGAGCTATTGGAGTGCCCTAGCTGGTCATGGTGTAGCAACGTTGGTAAATACTTTTCTTTTTGCAGCATCCAATTCCTGATTTGCGTAAACATGACTTTGTATGACTAAACAAATTCTCAGTGGGAAACGTTGATCTCTAAAATGGGTGAACAATTTTGAGTGTACGCGGAATCATGCACTTCCATCTGTGGTTGTTACACTAAGTTGAATCTTACTTGCGTATCTGAAAGTGGGTCCATTGATTAGAGATTGGGGCAAGTTTAGTGCATGAATTTAATAGAAAGTACGCATTAAATACTTCAATTTCTAATAATATATGTGTATGTATGTACCAAACCTTCAGTATCGATTTATCATGCTCACGTATCAAGTTTCCAATTGTTTAATCCAATTTTGATAATAAATCTGCAGCTTGCAGTTCTAGGAGGTTCTTTAATAGGGACATTTTTATCAGAGAAGGTAAGATTATCATTCATTCTTCGGCCACGTTTTTTCCACATATGCCTTTTTGAACGTTCACAACTATCTACTGCACATTATACCTACCTCCAGGTGGATAAACTTGATGTTTTCCATAAGTGAACTTGACATGAATTTCTTGCTTCCTAAGTTATCTTTTTTTTTTTTTTTTTTTTT